ATTTTGGCACAGATAAAATGTTCACAGATATTTAAAGGGGGAAAGGCCCTGCAATTTTTTTTATAAGTGGATCCCACTGTGTTACTATTAATAGGAAATACACCACTACTTCTATCATATAATAGTGTTAAAAATGTATGTGATTATCCTGTTTATTTTGAAAGAAAAGCCAGGGACGCTAATGCTTTCTGCACAAACACCTGCATGCAAATATAATATCACAATTTATCTGTTCATGCATAACTGCACTCTTTTTCAGAGTCTCCTAGGCTAGAAAGAAATCAATATTATTAGGTACCCTCTACTACTGAAGCATCTCTTTGCAATATCTAGTTTTGAAACTAACGCTTGCACAGTGCACAATTGTTTAGAATGTTATTTTAATCAGTATCTACCTGATGAAAGAGATAAAAGAAAAAAATGTGTTGTATTCTTAATATTCTCATCAGGCGAATGCCACAAAAATATTTTCTTAAACTACAAAAAAAATATAAAATTAATATTTGTTACCATTATCCAGCTTCAGCCAGGCAAGCCTTTCACAGAGCATTAGCAATAAATTAGACCCCTCGATGCAATCACAGAAACTATGAGAAGCATCTACAGAACAAAAATGTGATTTACTTAAAAGGGAAATTGATTTCCACCCGAGCCCAAAATGCATGCAGCTCACTTTGGTAAACTGGAGCATAGCACATTCTAATTCTGAAATACAATACACTCTATAGCATATTAATACAAAAAAAATGTTTTGGAAAGTTATTCTATTTGGGATAGAATTAAAATATGTTTAATATAATGGTCCGTTGCAATGGTTTTAGCAAACATACATTATTTATATGTTTACACAAAATAAAGATCAAAATTGTTAAGTAGCAAGTATTTGGATTAGTGCTCATGCGCACTCAAATGTCAGTTGGATTGTTTGCTATATTTGCAAAGTGGCGCTGCTGTCTCCTGATTGTGGCACATTTGCCACACTTCTGGATTTGCCATTTGTCAGAGGTTTCATTAACATTTGCTTTATTTACAGTACGACAAATATTACAAGAGGCTAGACACAATCATTTACCAGCTGCAGAGGGCAATTCAATGATTGGGATAATAGCGATTCAGCATTGATTCCTATTCAGTACCTGCCAGTAGCTGCCACACTAACTCACTGCTCACTTCGTGGTCTATTTATAAACAATGCTCAGGGCCATTCGCCCTGGGAATCTCTGTTAACATTCATTATGTGTGAATCAAGGCAAAAACAAATTTTGTTGGGGGGTCATTCACTCGGCTGCCTAAGGCAGCCGAGTGAATGACCCAGCCGAAGTGAAGTGAGCCGATCGCATTTGGCTATTCACTTCGGCCCTGTACAGCTGATTTTAGCCGTACATCGGCTAAAATCAGCTGTATATCGGCTAGCTTTGGCTTGCTTCAGTTCAGCCGAACATGCTCAGCATGTTCCGCTGACCCAAAGTGAACATCTGGATCGGTTGAGCCAAACCTCCAGCAGTTTACCCGCTGCCGTTTGCCCTATTCTCATAGGGGCTGAATGGCAGTGAGTGAATAGCCGAATACCGCCGAACGGCATACGGCTCGGTTATTCTGCTCGCTACCTCCGAATAAAAAAATGACACATTAATAAAAGATGAAAAAAAACAGCATGGGGTTCCCCTTGCAATGCATACCAGGCCCTTTAGGTCTGCTAGGAATCTTAAGGAGGAACCCCACCCCCAAAATGGGGCAAAAAATGTGGAGTCCCTCCTAAAATTTCTAATCCGAGCTCAGGCCTGGCAGAGCAGGAAAGGTGCCATACCTCCCTGCCATACCAGGCCACATGCCATTTGGCACTGGGAGGGTGATTTTCCAGGGTCTCTCCTGGAAAAGCACCTTGTCTCTGTGCGAATGGGGACAAGGGCCTCTTCCCCACAAGCGTGGTAGATTGCTGTGGTTTATATCTGAGTATATGATCAGCCTGAAAGGTGAGCATTTACTACTGACCATACTGTATTTATCAGTACACTAATTATTTTCCAGATTAAGTCCAACACTGCCTACACTGGTAGATATTTGCATGAATATTCATATGAACACTCAATAATGCCATCAGAGACTTGACAAATGATGTTCAAGATGTTGTTTGATTTTCATATTTGATTTTGGAATGAATGGAGTTTCCTGAATGAAAGCCACATTCACTGTTAGAATTTGGTTCATTCAAGAAAAAATTGCAAAACATTTTTTTTCTATGACTATTGTAAAAAATGATCAGCGATTTGACCTTATTAACTTAACATTGAACAATTATTTTCGAACAAAGTTCGACTGTTACATGGTCAGCTGTACTATTATTGTATGTGTCTTCTTTTCCAAGTGACAACCCCTCATTGCTTGTCCACATAAACATAGGGACTATAATGAGACAGCTTGAGGCAGTTGCCTCAGGAGGCATCTCATTGGGGAATGTGATGCCTCTCTGTCCAGTGAATCCCAGGTTGTTAAAAGCTCTTAGCAACGTGTGATGCTTTGTCCGGTGTCCCACCCAACTCATTGATGTCACTAGTTGCCAGGAGCTGAGTGGGATGTTCTGGCTGGTGTCATGCCGAGCTCCTGGCAATCAATGATTTCAGTGCAGTAAGCTAGTTGGGACTCCGGACAGAGCCAAAGCCAGAGGTACACCAGCAACATCCCCCCTCCGTAACGTGAAAAGTGTAGTGACACACCTGTTTATGTGAAAAATCATTATTCTGTCTACAGTATATTATATTAGTACATCACTCAAAATATATAAAAAGATTTCCTCTTTCTTTCTCCACTATTAGGACATAAGTTTCCAGTGGTGGAATCGCTCCCCAGTGGTATCAATAACATTTCAGCAGATGGAGACAAAAGAGGGACACTCCATAGTGCACTCCACCACTGGAGAATTATGTCCTTATAGTGGAGAAAGAAAAAGGAAATCTTTTGCACTGTGGAAACATCGGGTATCTTCCCGCCTGAGATTGAAAAGGGAAACGGCTCTTTCAGACCTTTGTAACGTAAGTTCGTATGGAGAGGTGAGTGTTATTCTATTGGGAGTGGAAAGTGGAGATCACAAGGAACACGAAGGGATTATTTATTCACCGGTTAATTGCATTCACTTTTGTATTGGAGGCACTGTTCACTTTATACTGTATGATATTTGCATCACAGTGGACGTCTTTGTAAAGTGGACTATTATCATCTTATCTTGCTGTTATTATCGTTTATGGGTATATTTTTTTTCACTTGTTTGAAAGCACTTTTTATTGATGCAATTATATTTATATTGCATTTAGATATAGAGCACATTTGAGAGTGTGGCACATTTATAACATCATATATTTTAGCTATTTTGGTCTTTCATGATCCATTTACCACTGCTGCAGTTGCAAAACCATCCAATATTGTAATACCTATAAGTAAGGGGATAATTCAATTAAAAAAGATCCTCTGTGATCTGTCAGAGGAATTAGTTTACTACTTTACAAAAAAGCTTGTTATAACTAATGGCCCGTTTTATGTGCAGGAACGATACAAATGAAAGTTGTCTCAATTATTGTCAATTAAATTTTGAAGGGCAATAACACCATGTTTTTTCTTTAGTGCTAATCATTTAATCATTTAAACCATCTGTTTAATGTAAAATGTGTGATGCCCTAGAAAATAGCATCCCCGGACCTCACTCGTCCACATGCTAAAATGCTCAGTGTAGTAAGTCCCCTTATAACACATCCCTGGGATCCCTTTAGATGTGCCCGTTTCTCTCTGCTAGCCAATGGTTGCTGCAAACTATAGCTGGGCCTTTGGCTGATTGGTTGACTGGTTGCTGGCACATCTAAGTCCTTGGGATGTGTTGTTTCACATAAAGCTTGGGAACAAAATGGCCGATGTCAGAGAAAGCTAATAGCTGAGAGGAGCCATTGACAGTACAGATCATGGTAGATGTGATTGGAGAATGATGAAGGTCTATCAGGCGTGAAATGAAGGTTGGCTCAAGATAGCTGCTGCAGCTTCAAAGGGTTGTATCGTGGAGATGAGAATTTGCAGGGAATTGAGAGTAATCAGTTTCAGTAAAGGAGAGGATTTCAGGTCTGGGAAAAACTCCCAGACCTCAAATCCAGGACTTTCCAGTCTTGCAAAAAAGGTAAGGCTGGAGTTTAGGATTATTTACCCTTTACTATAGGTATAATAACCACTAGAAAAGGAACTTGCCTGTGTGGTGTATAGAAAGCATTATCTTCTGCAGTCTTCAATACAGTAGTGTGATGTCACAGGTCCTGATGGCTGAATAGTGCTATGTAATTATAGCTTCCCACCTACTTTTTTCTTATTGTAGACAAGCCAGCAGGGCTCCCGAGTGATGATTTGACCAAATATGGACATAACCATATTTGGTTGAAGAAGTCAGCCAGCATCCCCAGCCGGTCTGATGACATTCAGCAGTAGACCTGGGACTGTTATTTGCATTGGGGGTAGTGGCAGGGCAGCATTATTATTGCAGCGAGTCATCATGCCAACTAGTCGTCAGGCATCACTTATTGTAATTGATTGGATCTACATCACAGGCCAACATGGTTGACTTGGATATACATTGGGGGACATTGTTTTATTTATTTTTAATCAATATTTAATAAAATACTATTTTCTCTAGTGTCTGTGTTTTTCTTTCCTTTTTACATTTTTTTTTTTTTTGTGAATCAGTAACAAGAGGTACTATGTACACCTCACTTATTCACATAGGGGGAGGGCCAGATATCTGGTGGCTCTCTTTTTCTAAAGGTGGGGTTTCGAGATTCTGATACATCTCCCAAACAGACCTCCACATTCACTGGACGAAGAATTGAGGGATGAAAATAATGATAAAAAGAATGTACATAATTGTAATATTTTTTTACACCATGCAATAACATTTAAGAGCAGCAGAGATTATCCGAATTTCCTTTTTTTTTGCAACTGTAACTGTCATCAGCGCTGCCTCCAAGACTCACAGTTTCTTCCAAACATGCACCTTGGCATCAAAGGGATTGTTCTGCTTTTCTGATCAGGAGCAAAAGAAACAACAGAAACACCATGATACTAAGGGTTTTCTATATGTAGGAGAAAATGTTTTATACAGCCATACCTGAAAAAAGGCAAATCAAACACTTTAATATTTGCATGAGGCTAAAAAGGATCCACAGGGTTACATTATGGTGATGAGTAAACCAGCCAACTGTCAGAGAAATGATAAAACAATAAAAAGGGTTTTAAATAGATTACATGCTGTGGACAAGCAAATGTAACTCACAAGGCATGGAAATTTATTAGAATTTCCAAGGAAAATAAGATGTGCTACATTTCAAACAGTATAGTGCAGTACAGTACAGACTCATGTCTTCCTGTGCTGCTCCATTCACTAGTTCTTAGAACGTACTCAGAGGCTCTTACTGGGGGAGATCTATTTTTAGCTGTGTCAGTAGATCTGAAGTTTTAAATGCATATATAGTACATGTGCTTAGTTAGTAACTGTTACATGCAGCACAATACTCTACAACAGAGAGAGTAAAAATCTACACTTTAGGAATCTCTTTATAAATCTCCTCCATATACTTTGGAAAATTATGGAAATGATGCATAATGTCCATGTAATAAAACATGACAAAGCCTGCATTGTCATGATTTGTCTTTTCTCCACACATCAGGGTGATATTTTCTCACCATCGGAGACAAGTTTCAACCTGTTCAAGAGGTTCATTTATTGTGGTTATATGCCGTAATAAACATCAGTGAAATATCACTTTGATATGAGAAGAAAAAGCTAGAGAGAGGATCTGGAAATACTTTTCAAGGATGCACCAATACATTCCTTGGAGAAAACTTATGATCCTGATAGACAAGGTCATAAGTTATTCCTTCTACATACATGAATTAAAACTAAACACACATAGAAAGCCCTATTTTATTATTATTTGTTTTATAGAAAGCCCCTTACACAGCAGTAATATTATTTATAAAGCTTATGAGAGGGATTTTTTTTGCACAGTATAAATATATGAATTGTTTTACATTGTTAACAATTTTGTAATAACCTCTGTGGCCATAAAACTAAGAGTTCATTGACACCAGATAGATCAACACAGGCTCAATGCAAAAACATAGGAAACAACTTTTCTCTATGTGCCCTGTTCATACCATACCAGTGTGTTGATGTGTGTTGCATAAAATTGCAGCATATATGCATTTTTATGCAACATAAAAAGTTGCAACACGCTGTTGTGCATAGAAATTAATGAAGGTTTCTTTGTTAATTGGTCTCATTCATACCATGTCTGTTAACATGATCAATGAAGGCTCAACACAAGTGCAAATAGAAAACAATTATCCTATGTGTCCTGTTCACACCATAATGCTTGTGCAGCACAATATGTTATGCATCTTTCCTGATGCATCTGTGCACCACGACACAGTCCTATAGGTAATAATTAGTCCCCCTGATGATCAAGGGAGGAGGAAGTAAGGAGATACATGCTCCCTATTGGATGCAATCTTTCAGTTATACCTGAAAATGTGTAAAATGGCCACTTCCTGGCTTTTCCATGTTGCCCTTACCCTGGGCACCAAGAGACTCTGGATGTATGGATATTGAAGAGACATCCTTGAAATTGTGTATGTGTCTGTGTATGTGGGTGAGGGAGTGTGGGGGAATAGTGAGCAAGTCTGCTAAAACTTGACCTAATTGGAACTTTTTGAATTTAAAAGCAAATTACAAGAACTTACATTTTAAATATAAATTGCAATGAAGTAAAGGGAGGAGCAATTTTGCTGGCCACTTTTAACCCTTTAGAGGGAAGCTAGGCAAGGTATTCACACCAAATTGGCATGGGAAGCTCCAAGGGGGTTGGGGTTTTATCATTTGTCTGTGACATGGTGAATACACATATCCTTTAAATGACAACTTAGATAATGCCTTAAAGTCCCTCCATTACCCCAAAGGGTTCAACCTTTCTCTCTTCTTTGAAGGTTTGCTGTTTGCCCATCTTTCCACTTCCAGCACTCTGAGTTTTGAGAATGTCAGTGATCAGGGTAAGGTTAGATTTTCTTTCAAATTTTTATTGTTCTCTATTTCCCTTTTGGACAGATTCAACCCCTCTAATTGCCCTAGACACCATTGTCAATTAGACATTTTTTGAGTTGTCATTAATAAGAGTTGAGGGTAGATTATCCAATGGGGAGAAATAGTTTGGTTAAAACTGTCCATGGTTGAAATTTCTCTATTTTTCTGAACATTTCCTCCATTTTGATTTCATGTCTTCAGAATAATTTTAACCCTTACTTTATCCACAACCAAAAAAGTTTTAAGCAACAAGTTCTTGCCAATAGCCAATAGCAGCTGTCTTTAACCATCTGTGGTGAAGATGTATACCCCCATTATTGCCAATACTATATTGTGTAAAATATTGATCTAATTGGTGCACATTCCATATTGTGTAACATATTGTTCTAATTTTTTTACTATAATTTTTTAAACCATATCTGGTTTTAATGTTTTTGTTTGTGTTCATTATTTTCATGATTAAAAAGGTTATTTGAGGTTTTAAAATTGTGATCAGGACATTGCAGGGTTCATTAGCAAATCTTAGATAATTGTTAGATGTTTACAGTCTAGAAAACCTAAGGAATGCTGAGAGGATATTTGAGTGCCATGCTCTGCAAAACAAAGGTGTTTTAAAATATGTAAACAAGGTTGTTTTTGTGCACAGAGGATTTAGCTGTGAAAAGAAATGCTGAACCATAGTGTCTTGGAAACTGTGCAAATTTACTCAGTCACGTCAGGTGTATCTACGGTGATACATCATATGTAACAGAAAATGCAAGAAGTGGAACAAATGCTATTCTCTCTACCAGAAATTCTTTATTAATACAATTTTAGACACATAATATCAGATTATTTAGGGTAAAGTAAGCTCATTTTACTTCAAATACTCAGTTCAAACCTATTTGATTAAACTAGCACACAGTATAGTTGACGAGAGAAATTCTATTAAAACAAAATTACAGAGTGGAATGCATTTCATCCTCCCATTTCGCTATGATATGTTGTGTTCTTTTCCCCCTTTGGAACCATTAAAATTGCAGTCTGTATAAAATAATCATTTCAATTTACCAGGTAATTCAATTCCAGTCTTAATAATTACATAGCCCCATCTAAACTGCATTCTCATCATGGAAGTCTTGAATATAGTTTTGTATCCTTTTGTTAAGTATTTTTTATAACATTAGCTATTATCTGGAAGGTGGTATCTCCGTAGTCCATGAAAAGTTATTTTTCCTCTTCTCAGATGGGCAGATAGTAGGGATCATGTATCCTGGAGACTATCCACAGAAATAATGGGAATAATACCTTTTAAAGAGTACCTGTACTATAGAAGTTATGCCCAAAAATGCATGCAGTGAGAAAGAAGTTGTCACTAGTACTACCTGTAGGTTCCCTACAGCTAAACATTTACCTCAAGACTGGCTTGCCATTGTTGTGCACTATGTTGCTGCATGGTGGGATTCAAAGTTTTTTATTGGTTTCCATATTTATAGGCTTCAAAGCGCATACAACAATAGAAAAAGTGACAAAACGGTTATATAGTTATCTAACATATATGTCATAATAACAGCATAATTGCTGTTATTATGACATATATGTTAGATAACTATGTTGCTGCATGGTGGCAGCCATTGTGTTGCCTCCTCCTGTCAAAGCTGTCCCCCTGATGACTGGTGGACGGATGACCGGTGGGGGAATGATCAACAGAAGAGATGAAGGAAGTGCAGATCCTTAGAATGAAGCACAATCAGGGAGAACTGTGCAATGCAGGTCCTTGGGTAAAGCTTTCTTTCCAGCGAGCCCTTTGGAGACGAATTAGCAACACAGTAGTAATGTCACCAAACAATACTCAACATTTTGTAAGACTAGTAGTAAGAGCCACAGTGCCTTAGACAATCTCACACTGCACATATGCAGTTATTAGTCTACAGAGCAGTCATGTCTAGACACTGCCACATGTGAAGAAGTACACTGCTATTTTAAGGAGGAATTTAAGACAAAAGTTACAATTTTCAGGGTACTGCTTAGGCAAAATAACATTGTTACTAGGGATGCACTGAAATTTCGCCCGCCGCCACATATGCACTGGAGCTAGGAAATTTGTGCAGCTGTAACCAGTGGGGAAGCTAGACATTCTGTCACGAGGGGCAAAGGAGTTGCTCTCCCCAGGGAGAAGTTCATCATCCACACACCCAGTGGCACCCCTCCTAAAGCGGCACCTGGGGCTTTCCCTAGCTTTGGCCCTGGCTGTAAATTTGCCTCTCACTCCTCTCTGCATTACAGCCATGATGTGCTGGACAGCTGCAGCCTCATTCCTAAATTTATTTTAAAATCCTCACTGCACAGCCAACCCCATCATCTGCCACCATATTTCAGCTCAGCCGGGGAAAATAAAACAGAGACAGGGTTCTCCAATTCAAACTCCAGGACTGGGAGAGAGAGATCAGATTCCAGTACTGACAGAGGGAAAGCAGGATTGCTGCATTATTGCAGCCAGGCTGTTTTGTAACTCATTACATCACTTAGTTAACCCTTATATTCCCTATAGTCTCTTTACTTGTAGAACATTTACCCTTCCCAGCTGACTGTGCTATTTAGACTGAATATAAAAATAGAACGCTTGCAAGAAACAGCTCATGAGAACCCTGCAGAATATAACTCATGGAACAGTCGGCTGAGAGGAATGCATAATTAAGTTAATTGTCTCGGATACGAACTGCTCTGACAATAACAATGCATAAATACATCATGCACCTCTAAGCTAAATCTTTAGGGCCTGTTCATAGCATCATGTTATGTTAAAGCTGAACTCTGCAAGGGGAATTTATCAAAACTGGAGCAGACAAAACCTGGAGCAGTCACCCAGGGCAACCAATCAGATTTTCTCTTCAATTTGTTCAGTTACGATTTGAAAATGAAAGAGAAACGCTGATTTGTTGCTGTGCACAGCTGCTCTAGATTTTGTCTACTCCAGTTTTGATAAATCCCACCATATGTGAAAAAATACAATTGCAGTGAGGCTCCCCCTGCACAGCAAAGGTTAAATACTCGTTTTTGCCTAGGGTACCATTTACATGCAGATTTTCTTACCTTTTCCCTCCCTGAACCCTGAAACCAGTGCTCACCTCTTCTCTTCTTTCTGACACTCTGGGTTATGGATGGGCCCTCCACATCCTTATTTACAGTGCAGAACTGCTGGTCCTGCATTGTACATGATGACATCAGACCTGCAACCAATGAGCAGACAACCAAATAGAAATGCCTTCGGGGTACTGGTCACGTGAAGAGGAAGAGCCAGCAGGAGTAAGGGATAAGGTAAGCACAAGTGCTTTTTAGTGATACCTAACTCTCCGTTCACTCCTTCGCATTCCATGAAAGCGTGCCAAGCCTCGATGAAAAGGTGTTTTTTTTTGTTTCCCTCGGGTTCAGCTTTAACACATATTTACGCAAACAAATAGTATATCCTTGCACACAGGTGCCCTATCTAGCCTACAACAGCTGTAGATTACCCAGCAGAGATATATGAAAAATATGACTGCTTAAACATGATGCTCTTAATTAAAATAATGTCTAGATAAAAACGACCTGAATAAAATCAAAATCAGAAGACCCTACTGGATGAATAACAGCAATACAAATATAAAATATACAGTATTTAACCAAAATAGTGATATACAAATATCATCAAGTGTGCTAGCTTTATATGTTTTCAAAGTTTTTTATTGGTTTTCCATAGTTATACAGTTCTATTCACAGACAGTAATATCATTCTATAAACATATAGTATATGTATCATAATAAAGCGTTATAACACAATCAATGGTCCTTCAACAGCAACAGAGCAAAAGATTGCTTACCTCTGTCTATTGTGTTGATATATTACCAAAGCCCCCCGCAACATGATTCTAAACCCTCGACACACCTGCTGTAAAATGGGGGGTCAAATAGATTCGATTTTTCTCTCTTGCCATTGTAAGAACCGCTGTTTGTCACCCAATCTGTGGGTACTAGATCCCTCTAGATGGGTGGTACAAGGCTCCCACCAAGAGGGAAAGTAACTGAAAACACAGTTTCGGTGAGAAATTAAAAGAACAAACAAAAAAAACAAAAAGTAAAAAATAAAGATATATATATAAATAAATAAAAATTATATAAAAGATGAAAAAATAAAGCACAATAATGCTAGATTGTTGACTCATGGGTTCCTAGAAAAACACACCATAACTTAACCTGAGGAAACCGGCAGGCCACCTGGAGGATTTGCAATCCCTTGATGCATCAGCCTGTGCTAGCTTTATAAAACGTAGCATCGAGGTGCACCATCAAATCTATGAAAGTGAAGTTAGTGCCAATTGTAAAAAAATTGTAAATATCCTTTTGTAATAACCTATAATGGCCAATTTGATTTATAAAATTGTTTCAAACATCCCTTTCTTGTAACCAACAACAATACAATTCATAAAGTTGTGTCTATTTAGGGTAATTAAATCAAGTTCATAATTTTGTGCAAATGTCCAACTGCGATAATCAATAGCAGCCAAGAGTCAATGTGGAAAACTCCAGTATTCTCCAGGTGTCAAAAGATGTACATGACAACTTAACTGGTTAAACTCATCGGAATAAGTTCACCTTAAATCAAAAAGGTAAGAAATCACTTTTTCCAACTTATGATATAAAAACCTCACTCCTTCTCCTTTGGATCCCTATACTTCTCTTGAATGCTCCACATTAATTTAATAAGATGAGAAAAAGAAAAAAACTTTCGATAGTGTAAAACCATTCAGTTTTTTGAATACAAATTAAAAACACACTCATAATTTCCAATGCTATTGCTAGCACTAGCTGATGTGCTTGATTTTCCCCTTCTTCCCTGGTCTCTCTGGGAGATTGCAATGTGCAGCCAAGCTTGATGATGTCACTGACTCCTGATGCCTCCCCATTTCTAAGACATACCACTGGATAATTATTTTCTGTAAAAACCTTTAAGCACTATATATTCTAGATGTACTAAACTGATAGATGTTAATTTTTTAAGATATCCTGTTAGATCAGATTTTACATAATTCTGGTGTATTTTAGTCACATGTACTATTTGACAAATACAACTCACTGTGATTTTTTCATCTCATTGTGGAACATTTTTGGGAGAGGGAATTTCTATTTAATTTTGCAGTATATGAGAATTATAATAAGGGACCTTCTAGCAGTATTACCCTTATACAGTTTCCTTTCTTGCTTGTTGTAATTAATTTTTGGTTTGGGATCTCTCCAGGTCATAATAATCCCAGCATATAATCGCATGGTAATATTCTGCTGATTAGCATATGCTTTAATTTTAGACTTCTTTAACATGACCCCTAATATGTATTCAGTCTAATATGGCAAAGAGCCAGCCATGCGGCAGTCTCACATGATTTGTCTGCAGCTTAATTAATACAAGAATGGCATTAACTAATTGCTAAGAAGTTGTTATGATTAAAGTACAAATATATCACACTAATCCAGATCTCCTTTTATTATTATTTTGTTATTGCATTTCTATGTCTAATGACAGCTTTTTTAGATAATTGTGCCTTGTATGGTCTACCCAGCTTGTATCTACATCAGGGTTAGCTGCTCCTAGACTTGTGAGGTGGGGGACCTGAAAATTAATAAATTCTTCATGACTGCCTACCTTGATTTCCAAATATTTGCTCCTAGGTATTTTTGTCCTTGGTGCCACTCTTCTGTGCAGTGAAAGTCTCTATCTAAAGTTTTCATGTAATTTATGTATTAGCCTTTGCAGAGTTTGATTTAAAAATGTATGCGACAGCAAAACCTGGGTGTATTGTGCACTATTGTCCTACATGACTGTATAATGTGTGGCAGGCATAAAGTTGAACTCCAGGCAAACAGCTAATAGATGGATAGACAGAGCTGTTTTGCCTGCTTGAATTTCTGTTCATCCAGTCCTGAGATTTACACAGCATTTCCACACAGCACAACCCTAACTGGTAGGGCAGGAGACCTGATTTGTTTCTCTGCTGTTAAATAAGGTTAAATTATGTTTAATATTATATTTTATTTCTTCTCAGATTTCAATTTTAAAAACCCAACTTGGCAGCTATATGTTCCTGGAAATTGTTTTAAATGTAGGCACCTGTGCCATACTTCTCAGTTATTTACCAGTTGCATGAGCATATTACATTCTCAACATAATAATGCAGTTTTTCTTTTTCTATTAATTTTCTGTTATTAATATAGCTGTTTTTATATCTGCTGATGTATGTCTGGAAGGCTTTAATGGATTGAAAAAAAGGGACATTTTATCCAGTTTTTCTGCAGCTTACAGAAACGTGTTTCTGCACTGAAGACATCTCTAAATGGTTTTTAATTGGCACTGGAGATAGCTTCAAACAGTACCTGACTAACAAGTTCTGAACTGCAAATTATGACCAAAGCGTGTGTATTGCCTCCAACAGTTTTATGGGCAATGTAATTGCATTAGTGTTTATTTATATGCATTGTCATTGAGTTAAATGTTCTTTGTTATTCTGCCACCTTGTGGTCAAAAGGTCTGATTTGAGAAAGCTGGTCGGATGACCAGCGAAACGTCTTCAATAAAAATACAGCAAGTCCAGTTGCCTTGATTTATTTTATACAGATATTCCTCATTATGTTTCTTGCTGTCTTTCCTGCAAGACATGCTAAAGTGAAGAGAGAAATATTTATTTTGACCATACAAATTCAAACATCTACGCCCTCATATTGTTTGCCTGAACTCTGATGTATGCAATAGAGACATTTGTGGATGCAAACTATTTGGTAAATTCAGCTACCTGATAAAGATTGTCTGTGGTGATTGTATGTGCAACATTCAGACCAGGCATAATGGTCAGGAAGGGAAGGACAGGACAGAAAGGGACAAACCACTATTACAACAATTGAGTCAGAATAGAGTGAGACTTAAGGAAGTCAGGAACTAACCTGAGTTTAGCTAGTAGCTCAGACGAGTAGATGTTTTGTTTTGTTATGCTAAGGACTTCCTATACAAAACCCTTGTGCATGTAAAACTGTGTTGGTTTTCTGCCTTGCTTAATAAAAGTGCAAACAATGTGCTTAAACTGTTCCTGGGTGTCCATGTTTTAGGCTAGGTTCACACCTAGGCGACTCCTGACTGCACGGCAATCCACACAGTTTTGTGCACGATTGCCGCACGGTCGGGACTCGCCAAGGTGTGAACCGATCGCGCTATGGGTGCCATTATTTTCGAATGCCGTGCAAGTGAACACAATCGCGGCAAAAACTTGTACCTTTTTTTTTTGCAATCCCTGGTGTCGTGCAGTGTAGTGCAGGTGTGAACCTAGCCTCATGCAGGGTTTACCACTGCCAATACCAGTTAAGCAAGTTCCCTTTACAATATATAACACTGACTGAAAATAACAGTAGGGATGAGGGATGAAGGAGACAAGTCACTGCTCTAACTCGAACTCTTATGTGTGGAAATTTGAGGAAATCAGTTTGAGCTTTTTCTTTCAATAAAGCAGAAAAGAAGTAGCTGAAAAGTGTGTGAAAAGTAGCATGTTATAGAGGTGCCCTTACCCCTCTAATGTATGCCTTTCTTTTTTAGATTGAGTGATTAGTGTCCCTATAAACATTCTTTAACCGATTATGGATTTCCTTAGGTGCACAACCCTCTTTCACCAGAAATTCAATTACAGCTCATTGTTTTAGCCACAGACTCTAATCACTCAATCTGAAAAATAAAAGCATACATTAGTGGTGTAAGGACACCTCTATAACATGGTACATGAACATTCACAGTCACTCTAATAGATCTCAAATTACACATATGGAGGCATTACTTTTTGACATATATACAGTGTATATATATATATATATACCCTGTTTCCCTGAAAATAAGACCTAACCTGAAAGTTAGACCTAGCACTATTTTTCCAGATTCCTGTAATATAAGACCTACCCCGAAAATAAGACCTAGTTTGGTAGCATGTGAGGGGGAACTTGAAGAGCAAAATACATCATTTTGTTACATAATCTCCTTCCTTTCCAATCCACTTTGTCCACCAGTCAACAAGCTTTTTTTATTCCCTCATTAAAAACATGTTTTAGGCTGAGCTGCAAGCCATGAATGCACCGATGTCTTCACTTCTTCATCAGAATCTTCGTTCTTGCAGGGCTGCTTTCAGGGGACCAAACAGGTGAAAGTCCGATGAAGCAAGATCAG